TAAAATATTATATATTATTATTTGATATATTATTTCACTAATTTAATTATTGCTAGAAAGAATCAACATAAAAAGGTAAATTAGTTAATTAAAAGCTGTTTCAGCCCAAATTTGTGCACAATGTATATTTATCTATTATATACTATGTATATTTATACACTACCATTGAAAGGTTTGGGGTCAGAAAGTTTTTTTTAGTACTTTTATTCATCAAGGATAATACATTTATTGAAAGTTAACACAATTGAAAATTTATCAAAAGTAAACAATAAAAAAACGTCACTAAAGATTTCCGTTTCAAAGAAATGCTGTTCTTTTGAGCTTTCTATTCATCAAATAATTTATCATCAAAAATATTAAGGAGCACCACCATGACTGAATGAAGCAGAAAAAAAGTATTAACAAGCATTAAGCGTCACAACTGTTTTCAACATTGCTGTATTAAAATCAGCTTTTGTACAGCTTTTCAAATCACCCACTTAAAGGGGTCATGAACAGCCTTTTTATTTTATGTTGTACTGTTCTCTGAGGTCCACTTATAATGTTATAAAAAATTTTACATCAGAAAACATAATTTAGAAGTAATAGGCTATTTTCTGTCCTGTTTTGACCCCCCTCATCGGAACGCTCTGTTTGAATAGGCGTGGCGGATTGTAGACTCGGAAGTAACTCCCACTGCTATGATTGGCTAACAGTTGTGTATGTTTGACAGCCTACATCCTTCATAGATAAACGCTGCTGTGATTTAGATTAAAAACGCTTAAATACTCGGTACATATCAAACGATCTGTAATAACAGACAAAGCAATAGTGATCACGTTGTAAAAACAGTTACTCCCGCTTGTGTGGTGCGACATTACTGTTGGATCCAATATATTCGGCAAAGCATCATCTTTTAGTTTTAGTCTTTCTGAAAATCCTGTGTTGAATTGTGCCTTGTTTGTAAACGAACCCATGCTGAAATGAAGGGAACAAAGGACCAAGTTATTACTGACGTGGTCTGTAACTTCATTAAAAATAAAGTTCAATTACTCTTTCCTAATGTTGGGATCAGAAGGAAGGCAATGCAAAGACTGTGGTTTTCCTCAACTTGGCAATGTACATTGTCTTGTTGTCTTTGGAGCCATCTTTATCGTTTGATTTGTGTGTAGACCTGCTTTTGCCTCTCTCGTTATTTACACTACATGTGCGAATCGGTGGGTGGCGCTAAATAGGCAGTGCTGTAGAAGCAGGCGTTGATCTTCTTCTGCGGAGGCGGTGCTTAGCCACACTATTATGTCATAAAGTGACACATTCCACAACCTGTCGTTTTTCAATATAAGCTGTTTTTAGACTAACGAGAAAGTTTTGGGTTCTGAAACTTACAGGATGTTTTTATAGTACAATGACCTCTTATATATCAAAAGATCAAGGAAATTTTTATTTCTCAGTTCATGACCCCTTTAAGAGGTTCAATGCAGGTTGTGAAGACAGTAGGCAGTGAGACGATTCAAAATGTGGAACAGCATTCCATTCTAAAATGACATTTTAAACCACAATAAACTGATTTGATGCAGAATTTAATGAAGAAAGTAATTCAAGAATCATTTGGTTTAGTTGTTAAGTGTAGTTGCTGATCTCATATTACTGCCATTCTTCCCTGATCGGCTGGGTCTCCTGCTCAGAGCAATATCTGAGTGTCAAATACACCACTCATCCAGAAAATGCCAACTTGTTGGCTGTTCCAACTTTGGGGAGGAGTAGTGTCCATGGTAGTGCCAGAGGCTCCTCCCCACTACCTTTGTACAGCGGCAGTGGTAGAAACACACCACAGGCAGGGAGCGGTGGCGTGGCCCTGCCCCTCAACCCCACTACTCTGGCTTTGCTCCAACAGCACAACTACATCCCTTACTTCAGAGGTACCACAGTTCTGCCTGCAGGCTTTTGCCCAGTACAAATCACCACATGCTGCATGTGTGTGACCTTATGGTCTTGGATACAAGATTCACTTTCCCTTGACAATATGAGTGAATGAGTTCACTACTAAAAATGCTGTTCTAAGATTTTAAACAAGACTAATGTCATGAAGTGCATGATGTTCCTGCTGTTGGAATTGGATTTCAACACACATGAACCATGGATCAAGCTCCAAGACTCTTAGTGCTTCATAAGGGTTTGCATTCAAAATAAAGGACTAGTGAATTGCAGACATGAAATTACTACCCTATCCTTCATCCACCTTTCCTAAACAGGAATTGAGACAGGATTCAAACAGGAAGCAAAGTCTGAAAGTAGGCCTAGGACAGCCCTGCACCTCAATTTGCCTTCTCACGGTAAACCCTAAAAACCAGTCTCTCTTTCACTGTGTATCACCAGTCTATTACAGTGATGTGAGATTGTAGGTGTACCGCAAGGTTCAGTCCTTGGACCAATCTGTCTTTTATGCTTGCTGGTATTGTGTTTAAATAGAGTTTGTATGTTCAGTCGTTTTGCATGGTGGATATTCATTATATTTGACCTGAAACAGTAACTTAATGCACAAAGACAAATGCGAACATTGGTGGCGAGCATCAGTATGCATTTATTTGTTGTACTGTAGTTGATGTTGTGTTTCATCTGTTAAGGTGAAATTTTCCGCCATGCATCTGATATTCAAAGTGACTGTCTGTATGTTTGTATTAATGTTGCCATTTACTTGATGGCTGTCATTTCTATCTTTTTAGCATTTTCAAGTGTTTTATTTCACAGAACATGCATACTCAGACAGGCAACAATTTGCAGGTGGAGTTACAGTGGAGTCCAAACATCTGAGACTATGTGTAGAAATGTAACATATGTAGAAATTTCAGAGTTTCAGAACACAGACCAATACCACAAACTTGCTTTTGATTAGTGATTTTGTAACAATTTTACTGTCACATTAGTCCCAGTAGTTTTTCATTTCATTTTCATTGGTGTTACAGTTTGATTAGTGAACTAGAAATAATGCAGAATCTGAAGTATTTCTTCATTTTACATTATAACTTTGTTTTAAAAGTTTTCAAAATCCTACAACTTTTTTGTACATTTCCTGTTTAAATAATATAAAAAAATCCCAGATTTTTGATCTCAGGCTTTTGGACCCTGCTGTGCATATGTACATTCTATGTATATCTAGAATATATTGGAAAGTATTTATTCATAAAGATAACATGTCTGTGAAGAGGAGGAAAGTATGATGAAACAGATTTGGGTTTTGTGGTTTCTCTGCGAGAAGTCGAGAGAGCGAGAATAAAGTTCGCAGGAGAAGATTAAAGGGGTAAATTGATGAACTGTAATTTTGGGTCAGTTTGCCAGGCGCAGTGGCATAAACTTAGGCCTTGTGCAGTTCCAGGCCAGCCCTTTAATGTTGCATGAAAGTACACTGAGGTTGTGTTTGGAGTGCGCCGTTTATGATTCACTTAGCTGTCTAATTGACTTCTTATTGGTAAAGTAGCCACACAGGAGGAAAATCGCCTCTTCCTTACAAATGCAAAACCTCACTGACTGTAGCTGTCTTGATCTTGTTATATCTCCCTCTGAGTTTGGTTTCTACTTAAGATATATAAAATGAAGATGGAAATCATTCACAGAATATGTGTTAGTGTTGAAATACTGCATTACACCCAGCGGATATGAGAAGGGCGTTGCAATCCATAAAATCATATTTTAATGAGTAATGAGAGCATTGAAACCTTCATACTCCACAGTGTGCTCCAGTGTTGTGATTTGTGTATGTTTGGTGTATTTTATGACAATTTCCTGCTCCCCCAGCTCCAGATGTGTGGAAGATTTTCCCCTGATAAAGGGTGAATTTTTACTAACAGCACTTTGTGTGTTAAATGGTGTGTGCATGTTTCTGAAGAACAGTTGCAAGTGTATGTGAAAGAGAGAAAGAAAAGACAAAGGAGACAGAGAAAGAGTTATTTTTTTATGTGTATTAATTTTTTGCTTTCAGCATATGCAAATAACTTTTTTTTAAATAAAACATTTTAGTGCATAGTTGAATAAGATATTCTCTCTCTCTTTTACTCTCAGTTTGATAAAAGATTGTGACTATAAATACTTAATATTTTTCCCGAATGTTATTATAACATCACAATTCAGCCTGCCAATGACAGTCATTTCTGTCTATGTCCAATTTGTATTGACTTGTCTGCTCAGTTCAAGCAGTGCAATGAAATTTGAGTGTCTACTGATCAGATGCCATCAGTATAAACACAACGTACTTTCACAAACTCCAATGCAAAGACGAATTTGTACTTTTTAGAGCTGGCTGTATTGTGATGTTTCAGACTCAATGAAGACTCAGTGTAGCATATTTCTGGCAACCCTGTCAACTTTTCTTCTCTTTCCTTTTCATTTTGTGTCTGCCATGACCTTCACCCCCCGAGGTAGTGAAAGTGGTCGGAGTACCCCCAGTCTCTCCACCTACTCTGATGGCAAATCTCCTTCCTCAACATACGTGGCAGCCCCACGACATTTCCATATCCCAGGTAGGTGTTAAAAACTCTTGTACTTAAACTACCCATGGTAAAAAAATTTCTCACATCTCTTCTTCCCTTCTATCCTCACTTCTGTACAATGTCAAATACTCTCTCTATTTTATGAAAAAAATCCGGCATACTGAATAATTCCTATTCATATTCTGCCTTCATATTGTTCTGTGATCTTTCTCTTAAGATCACAGCCATTGTTGTGCATCTTTGCATGATTTGCATTATTTTAGTACATTTATAAGTTGTTATTGTAAGCAAAGCCCTATTTTTTGTACGTAAAAGAAACTTTTTACTGTCATTGCTCATCCCATGTTTAAAAGGGTCATATGATGCGAGTTCTATTTTTCCTCTTCTTTAGTGTGTTATGTAGCTATTTGTGCATGTATAAGATCTGCAGAGTTACAAAGCTCAAAGTCTCCCACAAACGTGTAGAGTATCGCGTCATGTGTGTGTGTGCGCGTGAGAGAGAGACAGGGTCACATCACAGTGGAGTCAGCTTTCTTAATCGCGGCTTGTGTACTGCAAATACATACGAGCATCATCACTGTGTCTGTCACGCGACTCTGCTCCGCTTTCGGGCTTGAACTGATGGTAAAACTAAGGACATTATGTACTGTCTTTACACTTATGTTGAAAGCTGAAGCTCACGATAATGGAAAGGGGCGTTACATTTCCGACACGTGCTTGTGGTGTTCGGCCAATCACAATGCACTGGGTCAGCTGGCCAATCAGAGCAGACTGCGCTTGTCGGAAGGAGGGACTTTGTTGAAAACGACGCGTTTGAGAGAGGCGGGGCATAGAGGACCTACAATAATGTACAGTATTTGAGTTTTTTGAACATTAAAGCATGTCAACATATTCTGTTACACAAAATAATGAATGTAATGATCAGTTTCATGTGTTTTCAGGCCATTATTGTAATGACGTCTTGTTTCCAATGCTGGCAGAAACAGCTCTTAAAATGTATCACATGTGGTACATTAAATGACTGATTTTTTCTAGAAGTAATGGTGAAGCAGAAGTGAGGTTGGGATGACCTAAACAAGCTACAGAGAGACACATGCTGTGTCAATTATTAAGACATTATGTCATTGCAGTTACACCATTTATCTCCCTGTTTTCCTCTTGGCTTAGTTCATTTTAGGTGACATTTCTATCTTCTAAATTGAAAATGTGATGAAGCTTTCATTATTTATAATGTTATTATTTATACATAATTCTGACTGCAGAAAATCCATATTTCAAAGCCGAAGATTTTTGGCAAAGGCAAATGCTTGATCATGCATGCTGATCATGAACATTATAAGGAGATGAACTACAATACCTGCAATCCTTTATAGCAACATATACTGCATTTTCTGCCCTTTCTTTTGCCCCAAGACCATCCTCTAATAACACATGCTTCTTTATTCATCTTCTTTCTTCCTCTCTTTGTCTTCCATTCTCAGAGACTAAAGTCAAAGATAATATCTATAGAAAGCCCCCTATCTACAAACAGCATGGTACAGTCCAGTTTCCGTACAACCATGTTTCTTTGCATGCTGTTACGCATGTCACCATGGTACCTGTTGCCATGGAACTGTAACCTTTGACCCTCTTTCTGTCTGCTGGTTTCCATTTTCAGCTCCTTGTAGGTTTTACAAATCCTAGAAAAAGGTTTGGATTTGACAAGGTACTTGTTATCAGGCAATCAGTACCTAATTGTTGTTTCTTGACCACATGCCAAGGGTCATATTTCATACATATTTATTGGGTTTATTTTTAATAGCAGTTAGCCCTGAATTATTAGTGCTGCTAAATGCCTGTTAACTTAGAGATAATAATTGTTTTGATGTTTGTTATATGATGTTACACATACACCAAAAGTTTGGGGTCAGTAAGATTTAAAAAAAAATTTTTAAAGAAGTATATTATGCTCATCAAAGCTGCATTTATTGGATCAAAAATACAATGAAAGCAGCAATACTATGAAATATCGTTACAATTTAATAAATTTTTGTAACATTATAAATATCTTCATGTCACTTTTGATCAATGTAATGCATCCTTACTAAATGAAAGTATTAATTTCTTTTTTTTAAATCTTACTGTCCCCATATTTTTGAAGGGTTGTGTACATTTAATGTAAATAATGGCTTTGATATGATGTCTTAATCAACAAGATCCTACATGTCTTTTTAAATGCATCCTGACATGGAAACAGCAGTCAGATATATTCTTTATTTTATTTTTGTGCCTCTGTCCATCCATACGTACTCGCTTGTCAGTTGCAGTATTCGTAGTTCCTCATCTGTCTGTGGTCTTGTAACTTAGATGTTAAACGAACATGGTGTCTGTGCAACTCATTGGTTTGGTGAAATGTCAAAGGCATTTGTGTTATCCATTGTGATTGGCTTAAAGACATCTATAAAGCTCATTGTGATTGGGTGGTAAAGGTATCAATCACCTGACTGGTTTCTTTTGGCCTTTTTTTCCCCAGAACTTGTCCCTTGACGTTGTGTTTGGTTGTGTCACTTTTCACTTGCTTGTTGATTCTGTCCGTAAATTTGTTTTTCTCTCATAGTGAATACTGCAATTAGTTTGAACACTGTCTAAAATCAAGCTACACTGAAAAAAATAGATGACATGATTTATGAGTATATAACAGTATTTTCATTCAAATTTTTATTGTGTGTGTGTGTGGTACTTTGCATGATGTAACTTGTGCCATTCACTCTCTCAAACAGTGAAAACTGTCCTTTAGGATATATTTAAACTATCTTACTGTGCTGCAGCTTCCAGAACCTCCTGGCAAGATGGTGATGACGTAGACAGAAAGGTGATTTATATATTTATATAAACATCTCTGTGTGTATTTGTTTATTCTGCTATACAGTATCAGGTTGTTTTTTGTAATTTAATCCAACCTACCCTTGTGAAAAAGAAGTAAATTTTTTATTTATTATGGAAATAATATACTTTAAAATAATTTACTTAAGTGCAAACTGAATGTAATGTTTTTGAACACCTAATTGTATGCTAATTGCAATTAAATGAAAATGGATTAGTTTTTATTAATTCCAATATTTCATGTTAATTCCAATTAGCTGAGCTTAGTGCTTTTTTGACCACTTAAGTAGGACACTTAAGTACATCTTTATATATAATTTCGTAATTCTATTTTGTTTGAAATGTGGTTAAAGTATACCACCAAATGTAATGACAACCTTTTACAGTAGACTAAAATATTCTTAAAGTCATTTCTGTTAAATTTTGTATGTCATGTATTTAAATATATTTGTAATTACACATGTGCCGTGATGGTTGCAAATTGCAATTGAGTACATTTAAAATATATCAACTTTAAATGTAATATCAAATAACACACTACAGTTAAAATTATAATCAAATACTTTACATGTGCTTTAGTATGTTAGTCAGCATCAAAATAAGTGTACTTCTTTAAAGCATGATAAAAATATTTTTTTGATGTAAAATGTACTTTCATTTGTAGTTTGACATTATTACAAGAATGAGTTAAGAACCGTAGTCATGAAAGTGTACTCTCTGTAAGTACACTAAGTGGCCTTTTATTTCATTAATAAATGATCTGCAAATACAGTTTTTTTAAAATTAAAAATACACACTGCAAGTGCACATTCAATACATTTACACACACTTCTTTTTGTTATTTTGGGGTTGTTTTAATAATGTAATCAAACCTATATACAGGTGCATCTCAATAAATTAGAATGTCGTGGAAAAGTTCATTTATTTCAGTAATTCAACTCAAATTGTGAAACTCGTGTATTAAATAATTCAATGCACACAGACTGAAGTAGTTTAAGTCTTTGGTTCTTTTAATTGTGATGATTTTGGCTCACATTTAACAAAAACCCACCAACTCACTATCTCAACAAATTAGAATACTTATTAAGACCAATAAAAAAAACATTTTTAGCCTTCTGGAAAGTATGTTCATTTACTGTACATGTACTCAATAACTTGGTAGGGTCTCCTTCTGCTTTAATTACTGCCTCAATTCGGCATGGCATGGAGGTGATC